GTAAGATAGCCATTGTTTTAATTGCAGATGTGTTGTTGTAACATACTGATATACTCAGTTTCTAAAATTTATGTTTACAAAATGTTATGAGTCCTCGAAGGGCTCAAAGAACACAATGTAACAAATAACAACTATCATGTTTCCTTTGCCTTGCCTTTGCCTGTCCAGAGTTAGTCTACGGTACATGGCCAATCTTCTGGAGAAGATATATCATTTGGGTTGCTTTTCTAGACAAGGTAAAGGATTTTTTTTCCTCTCTCATTAACATTTAGTTATAAATGCTAGGCAATTGTTGGTGGGTATGAAAAGAATGCAAATCAGGAAACACAAAACTACAGGGGACAGTGTGCTGGCTAGTCTTGTGTCAACTTGACACAAGCCAGAGATATCTGAAAGGAGGGCACCTCAATTGAGAAAATACCTCTATAAGATGCAGCTCTAAGGCATTTTCTTAATTAGTGACTGATGTGGTGGCCCTGGGTTCTACAAGGAACAGACTGAGCAAGTCATGGGAAACAAGCTAATAAGCAGCACCCCTCTGTGGCCTCTGCATCAGCTCCTGCCTCCAGGTTCCTGCCCTGACTTTCTTTGATAATAAACTGAGGTGCGGAAGTGTAAGCTGAATAAACCCTTTCCTCCCCAGGTTGCTTTGGTCATGGTGTTTCATGACATCAGTAGAATCCCTGACTAAGACAGGCAAGAAGGGCTCAAACTCATCTGAAAAGTATAGAACAAAGGGACCAGCAAGCACCTACTGTTCTTAGAAGGCAGAAAGGTTATTTCCACATGAATGGAGGCCACGTGAAAGACTAGGCAATGGTAAGACCATACCTTCTGGGAGGTCAGCAGGACAGGCAGAATCTACATTGGAAGGATGGGTCTTGAAGTCTTTAAGGTTCAGTATGAGGAAGACACTGAGAAAAAATCTGAAGCAAGTGAAGGACTCTCTCTCTCTCTCTCTCTCTCTCTCTCTCTCTCTCTCTCTGTCTGTCTTTCTGGGTTGGGAGGAGAGGGCAAGGGAGGCAGAAGAGATAGAGAGGGAACAAGAGCCCGACAGGGAAGTGTGTGTGAGATAGAGGGGCTAGAACTGGTGGAGGGCGCAGGTGGGGCCTACGGTTTGGAAAAAGCCCACCAGGACTTGTTCAGGGAATCCGAAATGGCGGCTGAAGACTTTGCACTCAAGTTCAGTGATATGAAGGCACCTCTGCAAGTTAGAGTGTCATGCCGGGTTTTGAAAAGATAAACTTGGTTATTGAGGAGAATGCAGAATCAAGCTTGGCAGCTGGAGAGAATGTTGTAGAACACCAAATCCAAGAATTTAATTGCATGGGAGGAAGAAATTGAGACCACGGAGGCAGTGACTCCTGGAGATTGCACATCAGTCTGGAGGTAAATCAGGGCCTACGAGGCTTCCTCTCCTGTGTCCCGCCACGAACTAGTCTTGGTGTTACCTTCAAAAGTTTGGTCTCTTGATTCTTTCTCTACCTTCTCATTGGCCTGCTTGCATCCAGATCTCACTTCCTGATGTAGTTCTCTGACTATTTAAACACTCGGGCCTTCTACCTTCTCTATTTGCCTCTGTCTTTGGACAGGGTCAACAGAAAGGTAAAAGAAATCAAAGCACTGAGTGCCTGCAATGAATGCCCGAGGCAGGAATGATGTTAACGACTCTAGATGTTAGTAAAGTTGGAGGAAAAGACACATTAGCCAACAGTGTCTGAGGTCCTAAACACAGAGCAAGCAGTGCTCTGGAGGTGGCAGAGGGGAGAGAGAAGTCCTCAGGGGCGATGAGAGTGCACAGAAGCCTGAAGGGTTGCCAGGCAGATGGAGAAGGAAGCTTGTTCCTTAGAGTAGAACCTGTGCACAGACTAATGAAGACAGAGGGGACAGGGGGTGGGGTGAGGTGGTGTGGGGTGGTGGGGTGGGGGTGGGGCGCTGTGCTTAGGAGCCAGCGGCCCTAACTTCAACTGGCCAAAGCTGGAGGTCTTTTCAGGGCTGTAGAAACGCAGCAGAAGGCCCAAGTTGGTGCCAAATCATCAAGGCCTGTGCAAACCATCCTGAGGAGTCCGGCCCCGATGAAGCGCCATCAGAGTGATACGGCCTCCCATCTTCCCCCGGCGATCATGGCCTTCCTATTTCCCTTGTGGGCTCCTCTGTGCTCTTCCTCCCCACCGCTGCAGATTAGGAGCCCCTACAATGGAAGGCTCACACTGAGAGCAGATGGCCACTCCGCCGTGGGAAGAGAGACGCCAGGCTTCCTGGGCTCCCCGTGGCATCTCAGTGTACTCAAGAACTAGTAGTATTAAGAACAAGCTGCTTAGCTTCCTCTGGCTTTCATTTCCTCATGTACCAACGACAGAAATAACATCAGTCCCTCCAAGGGATTTGCGAGCTCAGTGGATTGCAGAGGGAAAGTCCTTCCTTACAATCTCGCCTGACACAGACTCCAGAAAAATGTGATCATGACTTCTGTGAAGCGCTCAGGTGTAGGTCTGTGATGAACACAACGTAGTAGCAGGGTCAGCCAGCCTGCCTGTGTTTTGTGCCAGCGCTGGACCATTGACAAAGCTTCATATCAACCCTGAGCCTTCCCCAGGCCACAGGGCCACGCCCTCCAACTCATCTGGAATCCTGTCCTGCCTTTATTCCCTGCAATGGTAAATCAGTATTTTGACTGCACCGTGAGTGCCAGTTTGTGAGCAATCTTTCCATCGGGCCCAAGTCTCTGCACACGGCACGTGAGGGGACCATAGAAAGCAGAACCACAAAGCGGAATGAGGCTTCTGGTTTGGGTTAGGACTCCTGATGGCCCGGCATGTGGTTCACCAAACATCCAATTTATGACTTTGTCACTTACACTCCTGGTGAGTGCCTCATGAGTTGCAATTACCTTTTTGTGATTAACTTTCTATAGTGCTCATGCCAGCACCATGCCTACCTGAGCAATTCATCAGTATTTCAGGAGAAGCAACACAGTGATCTTCCCTAACACACAGAACAGTTTCAACATAATTAGTAGCATTTCTGGATCAACACAGCACTCTTATAATGTGTATGATGGAGGAAATGAATGACTCTAATTATACCTTATTAAATTTTATTAATCCTCATTAGAACCCTATTATTCTTTATAAGTGGGTTACTGAGAAGGGAATAAAAGCGAGCAAGCAATGCTGGTCAAGTTCCGTTACGTCTAAAATGAGCACTGGGCGATTTCCCCATACTAAATAGTAGCACACAGGACACAGATCGGCCAAATTGCTTCAGACAGAGTGAATAAATTGTGATCTTTTTAAGTCTGAACTTCAGGAGCTCATGCTTCCTGCCTGCTATCAGGTTAATTATAAAGAGAAAATATTGCATTATTGCGTGGAATGCACGGTACTCTTGATCTCTCCTGCTGCATTCCTGCTTTTGAATGTGTAGCTGGGAAAGTTGAGAGGGCAAAGGGGTTAAGTAGCTTTGAATTTGAAGACCGCAGGAGAGGCGTTGTTCAATAAACGTTAAGTACAAGAATATGTACTTTGACACTTATGTGCTTAATTCTTAGTCAGAAAGGTTCATCAAAATCTAACCGGAGAAGCGCCACGGTTGAGCGTCCCTGCGTCTGGTGTACTTTCTATGTGCATGACTGGGTTAGGCTGCAGGAGGTCAGGGCCCACGGGGGGGGGGGGGGGCGGCGGCACGGGACGGAAGGTGGCCCAGGAGTGGCAGAGTCAGGAGCTTGCTCGACAGTGACAGTGTGCAGGTCACTCTGCCATATTCATCTAACCCACCCGAGATGGTAGTAACAGGTGGGAGAGCCCTTAGGGTGGGTTGAGGTGAGGCATTTTGTATGGGTACGTGATAGAAACACAGAACAAATCGGAGGCTGTTTTGTTTGTGACAGGGTCCACATAGACCGGCCTCCCTTAAAAGCTTTCAGTCCTGGGGGCCAGAGGGCCACCAGTACTTCCTAGCTCATGTCTTAACGTTGTAATGGGGATCTCATCTTCGCTCACTTTTACAAATATCAAAGACAAAAAAAAAAAAAAAATCCAACCCCAACCTTCCAAGAACAGGTCTGTCTTTATGGAAACCAGTTCACCCAGTTCGTGTATTTTCTTTTTTAAGCTGTAAGAACAGAGCAAGCTTTCTGGTTTTGGGGCAGGGCAGGGTTGGGAAGTAAATCTTAAAACTCCAAAGGTTCATTTCTTTGAACAAAGGACAGGAAGTTGCCCTGATTGCCACTGTTGCTCAAGGCTTATCAACCACAACCTTCCAGGAACTGGGGCTAGTAGTCACTTCAGTGGGTGGTCGGGTCATCTGCCCAGGTCTAACTTGGTTCTGAGCTCACAGCGCCCGAGCTTGAGTCCTGCCTGGAGGCGGAAACCCAGCTGGGAGCAGAGAATGGGATCTGCTCCTAGATCTGCTCAGCGCACGGCTGGGTCAGGTCCCAGCTCCTGAGAGCTTCGGCGCTCTCACGTGTGGGAAGTGAACCGAAGTTGTACTCCACCATCCCGTAGGAGTCCTGCTGGAGTCCTGGGCGGGGCTCCGACGAGGCTCTCGGGGTGGAGGGAGTGGGGGTGAGGGGGTGTTCCACGGCAGGATCTCCTCTCCCCGTTCCAGCTCAGCTTTCCAATTTGTCGCCTGCAGAGCCGACCCAAGTGTGCCGGTTTCTCGACTTCCTCCTGCATCTCCTTCCTCTTCCTCCAGTGGAGGCAGATCCCTCTTTCCCTTCCTCTTCCCATGCTCCCTGCAACCCCCGCGTCCCCTCCTCCAGGAAGTGCACTGCCCAGGGTCGCCCACCTCGAGCGGGCGCTGCCCGCCGCGCCCCCTCCCCGCCCGGCTACTGCAGCGGCCCCGCGGGCACACGCCTCCCCATACCTTACATGGACAAATGCGTGCAGGCAAAGTCAGGAATTCAGGCCCCTGACGTCAGCCTCCAGCGCTCAGGGCACCGCACGGGAGACCGCGGGGAGGGGGGTGGGGAGGAAGGAGGGGGAGAGCACCAACCAGCAGCCGCTCCCGGCCTGCCGAAGTTTCACTTTTTGTCTGTGGGTTCGCTCCCGGGCCCCGCTCCAGCTTGCCCCGGGAATAAGTAGCATTAGCGGCGGGAAGAGCCGGCCGCTTGCAAGGTAAGGGCCGGCGGCGGGGGGCCGGGCACGGGGG